TAAGGAAAATATTAATAGAATGGGATGATAGCTATAGAACTGTTGTGGTTTAACCCCAGCTGGCAGCCAGCACAGTAAGCAGCAGACTATGCAAAAGTGTTCTATATATCACAGAAATTCAACAAAAACCTTATAGGATATTGTATTCTACAGTGTAAATAAAAGAAACTATGTGGAGCATAAATAAAGTGAAATCAATTCAAAATTCACCCTTACGTTCTACCCAAACTCTGTGTTGCATCTTACAAATAATTGTAAATACCTTGGGCATTGCAGTGCCATATATTAACACATACAGGTTAGAAACACTGGTAAACATGTCAGTGATGTTCTTATACATGTTTCCTATTTTTAAGTGTTAAAAAGAGTGTGATAAGCTAATGAAACAAGTGAGCAGCAGAGATGGAAACTGAATATAGCCCTCAGTCTTGGCTGAGGATTATCATCTAGTAGCGTTAAATGAAAGTATTGTGAGACATTTCAGGTATGGGATGCACTGCTAAAACCATTCATTACAGAGGAGGGGATTTGCTTCAGACAGCATGCTGCAAATGGTGCTTGAGGACAGTGTCTCCAGTCCTGGAGTGGTGCTGAGACTCACACAAACCTTTTCTTACCTACAGGGTAGTTTTGTCCAGGGAAGGGAAATGGCGAAACGCTGATTCCAATGCTGCAAACCTACCGCTGCCTTACAGCACTGGAGCAGTCACTATGGCCTGGTCAATGTGGGTTCTATAATGATAACCTCTGAGTGAGATTGTCTCAGGGATATTACAAGTAGGATGTATTTTCTGCAGCGAATGAACCACACAAAGGCTCTCCAGAAGTAATATTCCATGCCATTCAAGAAAAATGAATGTCTTCATCCTTATTTTTGATCTTTTAAATACCACAAAAATCTCTGCAGTGCCAGCACTGATGAGTCTGATGGACAAGGAAATCACAGCAATGGTCTTTGAAGGTGGCAGTCTCACTACTTAGTCATAGCTCTTGCATCATGTTCAAAGCTCTTTTCAGACTGTTAGTGCTGTGTTATGCTGTGTTGTGTTGCATCATGCCAGCCTGAGCCCTGTGCTGTGGGGCTTGTAATCCCCAGGGGCAGGGGAGAGGCAGCCTGCTTGTGGACATGTGCTGGAGAGGTGGGAGCACCCTGGAGGCATTAAGCTTCTGAACTGGGAAAAGAATTGCTCCAACACATCCTTCTACTGCTATCTGGAGTATTTTATAGCATCCTAACGGAAGGATGACATATAATTTGCCTCCTTTCACTGGTTCTAATTCAGAAATACTGTAAACATCTGAGTATATTTACAGTCACAGAATTCAGCCTTCTACTCCTTCGACTAGGAAAGGGAAGATACCTTCAGAAGTAGTCTGATTTTGCATTTATTGGATTTAACTGCTTCCAAATAACGTTCATTCACTTTACAAATGCATTTACGTTGTTTGCATCACTTCTTCCCATCTGTCAGTCCTGTAATGCTTTTCTCATTTTAAGTTCTCCTGCATTATTAATTCAGCAGTTTGTAATTAAATGATTAACTAATCAAATTGTTCCCTCAAGAGTAGCTGTGTAGATGCATTTAAGACTGATTGATTTAACTGAGGTCACTCAGACAGTTTAGCCTTCAAACTCACCATTATAAAGGATGAGAAACAAAGAGGAAAAGAAAAGGTTCTCTGAGCTGAGGACAGGAAGACTGTGGCTTGTGTGTGTTTTCTTGTAATTCCTGTGGGGGGAAAAATGGTTCTGGAACTGGCCATCCAAAACCACTTGGATTTGTTGTGTTTGTGTTGCTTTACTTGTTGAAACTGTTGTTCAGATTTTAAAATGCATCATGATAATTAGTTGCTTTTCTTTTGTTTTACACTGTCTCAAATGGCAACTAAAGAATTCCTCTGAAGGAGTTAAAGGTGAGTAAACACGGAAGGGCAATACTATAGGGTGTCACTGCAGTATTGTTATCGCTAGTTTTGTCAGAAAAGTTATGCCTGCACTGATTTGGGAAAAACTGCTTTTATAGTATGTATGAAGAGATGAAATGATTACACAGTTGTATAGGAGTAGGAGGAGATGAAGATAGCTTCTGTTTCTCCCTCAGTTCACTTTTGTAGTCAAATGGGTTTCTTCTCAGGTTCTTCAAAAGCATTTAGGTACCAGCCACTTCCAGAGGTGGCGGCACAACTTGGATGGGTAGGTAAACTTTAATGGTTTAGCAAAATTCAGGTTTTCCCAATATTCCCTTTAGACTAAATGACACAAAGAGGCAACCTAATCCTCTCTGGTAATGGGAGATTCACAGCCCTGTGGTAAAGCAATGTAAAGATCTGCTGCACTGAGTGGAGGGTAGCAAGCAGAGCTGGTACTTCCAAAACAAGTCAGTTGGCTCCCTCTGCTGATTTGAGGTATGATTTTAGTTACAAGCAACGAGCACTCTCCTTTAGGTCCTGGAGGTCTCAGTATGTTTGTGCCTTCTGGTATTAATGTGGGTTGTTTCACCGTGAAATAGCTTCAAAGCTGGATGTTCCCCCTTTAGCTTAAAATCTGTACAGACCTTTACAAAGATTAATATATGTATTTATAACTGAGAATCAAACTGTAATGTGACAGCTGAGTATGAGCATTTTAGGTAAGACCTCCATAAAAAAACATAATTACACCCATCTGTTTCCCTTAAGTACCCAGTAGAAAACAGTTAGCACTTATATATCTCTTGATAGTTCTCTCTCAATCTGGCATTATGGGGAAAGAGGGAAATTATATCCCCTCTTAATTTTCTTTCTAGAAAAAGATAGTGTTTAAATTCAAATATATGAGAAAAACCCAGCTGAGAGTGTTTGTCAAAGGAGCTTTATTTGTGCCTGGATAGTGTCAAGACAGCAGAGTTTTCTGAAAATCTCTCTAAACCTTGTGCACCAGTTACAGAAAAGACAGAAGAGGCACATTTCTAATAAAGCTGAGGCCATATAAATAGGTATCAGGAATAACAAAAACGTGATTTCTTAAAAATGCACGCATATATTGCATCAACCTGTTGGATATAAAAAGAGCTTTGTAAATAGCTGTAAATTGAGTTCTCATTGAAAGGATACACAAATAAGCCTTACTGTTATGGCCTGGCTGTTATGTGATTATTTCACTAGATCCTTACCTGGGGTGAAGTGGTGAACCCTTCAGTGGGGGGTTGTGAAAGGCCAGTTTCCATTGTGGCAGGACTGCTGCACCAACACTGAAATGTGTGTTTCTATGGGCAAAAAAATAACTGATTTGAGACACCCTCAAAGAAAAAGAAATGGATTAAAAGAAGTTCTCTGCTTATGGGGTTTTTACCTCTTACTGGTAACAGCTCTAGGGACATTAGTGTTAGGATGTTTTATATTGCACACTTTTAAGAATTTGTTTATCTGGGTGCAACCAAGTTACATAAACCTAAGCTCCTTTTGTAACCTCCTCATGTCCCACAGCACTTGGAAGTTACTGTGGAGTCTCAGTGATTTTCGAGCTCATTTGACACTATTTGACATTTTCTACAGCAAAATGGCACATTCTCTCTCCTGTAGATACCTACCCGAATGTTTCATAACCAATTTTTCCATGTATCATGTACCTGTGTGCCTTTCTCGTTGCACGGATCAATGAGGTTGGCAGACAGGACACTTCAGCTGTCAGAAGGTTGAACGTGGTGACCAGGAGGAATTGTCGCTTCGCAGAGGCTCTTCTGAACCTGCAGCAGCAGTTTCCCAGAAAGGACCACTTAGAACTTGCAATTCCAGCTGCGATCGGCACCGTCTGTTGATCGCTGTTTCCAGGCGAGTGTCACTCTCGGCTGCACGACGCAGGGTACCTGGTGCCGGCAGATGGAGCTAAAGGACCTCAAACACAGCAGGGATCGGGGGCGAGGGGGGGGGGGGGCTTAAATGCCGAAAATGCAGGACAAGATTTTGCCGTTTTCGTGTGCTGCCAATGTTCGCCCTTTGCTATGACACTTCTGTCTTTCCCCCTTCTCTCCCCCCATGAGCCTGCATTGAGAAATTAATGCAAGAGTACCACTTTGCAAGATTTGAGAAGTCATGTTATATAAAACAGGAAATGAATAAAAATCCAATAAGCATTTCCTGCTGAGTATTTCAGTCCAAATAATGCTTCCCAGATTTCACCCATTGTTAGTGACGCTGCTGTTAATGTCATGTTGTCACTCTCATGGCAGTTAGTAAAAGGTATTGGCACTTGATAAGCTAATTGTACTGTGAAGGAGGTAAGAATTTCTGTGCATCTGTATATGGGCTCTTACTAGAATTGCACTGCTGTATTTTACATCTATGCACTACATCATTTTACATCTCTGGTAACTTTCCTCTGGTGTTGCTATTGATGGGGGTTGGCTGGTTAAATTAATGCCATACCTATGTGAGACAAAAATAACTTTCTGCAGGCCCTAAGGATAGACACGGGAACACTCATACAGAAGGTAAATACTTAGATAAATAGCAAGGATATCTAAAGCTTTCCCATGGACTTTCCATTAGTACACACTTATGCTGGATTCTGTTCAAAGCACAGCTAAGTAGCACAGTGGAGTGAGAGCTTTCTAAAATTCCCCTTTCAGACAAAGAAGTTTAGATGTCACATGTCAAAAGTAACGTGACCTCAGGGTTTTCAACTTCGTCTTTAGCAGGCATCTCTCACCTTTGGAAAAAAGTCTGCCTTTGAAACAATGCCTGCTTTCAAGAACTTTGGCTTAATGTTATGGCCTGAAGGTCAAGATTGTCGTGTACTGACAGAGGAGCACAGCGGCCTTCGCAGTGGTTCCTTTCTTCATATGTGGCTCTTACTTGTACTTAACATTTTGAACTATAAAATGAAATGTAGCACGAGAAAGTATAATTTTCTGTATGAGGCTTTGATGTGTTTTGTCTCTTAGCCTCATGATTGTTTTTGTATTGTTGTAATACTGAATGCTTATTCTCTTATTAACTGATGCCCTTTATTTGACAGGACTCTTCACTTCTGTTGGCCTTAAGTTTATGGCAAGATAAGCAGACGATTTCAACTTCAACCTTTCAGTGGAAGGAACACAGAGACAATTCAGTGTGTCTGCTCTGTACAGTACCGAGAGAATAAACAAACGATGGACCTATAAGAGACTGTGAACAAGCCAGGTCAGTACAACCCACACACAATGAAGGAAACTTATAGCACAGGCAGGCTGGGAGCAACCGCCAGAAGAGCTGGAAAAGGTTATATTAAAAACTCTCAGATGTGAATAGAGGTTATAAAAAGAGTCTGCACATAGTATGTGTACAATTACTTCAGAAGAGCAATCCTGCTCTAATTGACTCAAAATGGCAGTTAGCCAGCCAGACAGCTGGCTGGGGACAATGGGGCAAACCTCCCAAAAAACAGCCCTGCCTTAGGTTAGACTACGTATTTTTATCATCGCCCACCCTGTATGTAAACCTCTTGCTCTTATCTCAGGTGTCTGCTGGGTGTGAACTAGCTCTTGGCCTGCTTTCTTGGGGAAGGGTGAATGTGGCAGAAATAATGCTCTTGTTTGGCAACTGTGGATAGGAATATGAATCTGCAGTGTAGGTATCTTAGAGTGATCCGAGTTGCTCTTGATTCACAAGCCACAGTGGTCAAGTGTAGTTGTCATGTTCTGTATGACCTCTTCTACTGGAAGTGGCCTTTTTTAGGTGTCCTTCAGTCACTTACTGTCCCTTTGGGCTCCAGTTGTTGATAATGCCTGAAAGGATAAAAGAGAGAGATGGCTTAACTAATAGGACTCTTCCCAAATTCCTTTAAATATTGCGGAATTTAAATATACTTGTAAGCCATTTCTCTTCTTTTTTTCTTTTTTTTTTAGATACCTTTTTGTTTGGAAGGCCTTGTTTTTCATTGAGAAACCTCTCTTAGCAGTGGTACTCCTGGTCACAGTTAGCATGCAGGTGCCCAATGGCAGCCAGGAGCAGGGAGAGGTAGCGGGGGGGAGTGACTGAGCAGCTGCGTGTTTCTGGGTTGCCGGCTGGGCTTAAACCACAACAGCATCAGTAGGAACAGAACTAGAGATGCTGTGCCCATATTAAAGGAAGATTGTAACTGGAGACTTCACCCCAAGGCTTACTCCATGCAAGGAAAAACTCAACAACCCTCAAGAAAGGACAACACATTAACTCAAATTTTATTGGAAATGCCATGAAACTGTACCCACAGCATGGACTATTAGTATTAGAATAAATACTAATAAATTAGTATTTCTCCTCTGTGCTTGCTTTCCTGTCCTCTGAAATGTGAGCAGGGGTGCATGCCACCTCCCCAGGAGGACGCGGATCCTCCTCACCTACCACAACGTGAGAGGCTGCTGAGGTGAGCCACTTCCACTCAGCAGAAGCATGAACTGAGTCCCCTGTGGTACCTGAGGGAACACAGCAACTTCAGATTTCTATTCCATAATGTTTAATGAGCAGAATAAAAGCATTTTAAAAAAATAGAACCTCTTTCCTTGGTTTTTAGTGGAAAATCAGGTACTTCAGACATTAATATCTGTGAAAGTGAAATAACAGTATTTTTGGCATGGAAGGAATATTGGAAAATTCAGAAAAGAAATTGTATAGTTACTGCTTGAACATAGCTTTTAATGTTCTAATCCCCAGAGGTGCTGTCTCTTGAGCTGGGAGATGACTGCAGGCGTAAGTGTTGCTATGACATTGTGCACCCACTGGCTTTACTCTCTCTTCAGTGGTGAGTAACTTTGGGGAAACAACTGTAATTAGTTGAAGTGTGCTTATATGTGATGCTCCTAATGAATGTTAACATATAAGAATAGTATTTATATATATTAGAAATACCAATGCTTAACAATATCGTTTTGTTGGGTTTTGTAATTTTTTTTTTCCTTAAGATAAACCTGTCTCAGTTTGAGTTAATCTGATGCCAAGGATTAAGCTCTTTGTTAGAGGCAGGCCAGGCAGAAACTCTTACTGTTGGACTTCTTCCACAGTATTTCATGACTAGACCAGAATTTATGCATATGCAGGGCAATGACTGCTGTTAAAAAGCACTGTGAGAGTTAGCATTCTTTTATTCCCCCCCAATCAACTACACCATCCCTTAAATAAATCTAGGAGGAGAGTGTTTCAGTCCTTGCCCAGGTGAGACCTTCTCATTGCTTTCACATGCTCACCTTCTGCAGGCACGTACAGAGCCAAAGGGGCAGCAGAGCACACGTGTGAAAACTCAGCACCCTGGCTTGTAATGGCCTCTGCCAGTTCACCTGCTGGTCAAGGTGCCAGACATCCCTTCTGCATCCAAGTATCAGACTGTGACTGCCAAGGTGCCATCCTATTATGAATGAATGGTAGGGTCATTCAAGGACCACCACTGGAAGTATTAGCAAGAGTAGTTTTAATATGAATTCATAAAAGTGTGACTAATCAAAATTAGGTGGCAAGGTTTCCTCAATTACTTAATACATGGATGAAATATACAAAGGAATATTGAGTTAGAGTTGATTTAGGATGATTAACACAAAGATCAAAGATGCAGAAGTGTAAGAGAGACCTTCCTGTTGAATCATAAGGGTCAGGGAAAACAAGACCCCCTTGCTTTCTAAACTCCTGTTGGTACTTAGGTGCAGCTAGGTCCCATCTTAGTCTCAGACTTTGTCAGCAGCTTATGTCTAAAGGGTTACATATGTAATAATTAGGGTTGCAGAGATATCAGCAAAAGGTGACCTTAATATGATGTAAAGGTACCAATTCATCTATACTTGCTATGGGGCATCTAAATCAATTCACACACATCCGAGGGAGGTAGTCAGCTGCAGAAGGATGCTCTCCATGAGGGAAAAACACCTGGACCTTGTTGTAGATTAAACCCAGCCAGACAGCTAGTGCACTCATTCCCCCCCCCTTTTCCTTCCTCTTTCTTTCCTTCCCCCCCAGCCCCCCCTTCCCAGCTCCCAGAGGGATGGGAGGAGAATCGGAAGAATGCAACTCCCACAGGTTGAGATAAGAGCAGTCCAGCAACCAATGTACAACACAAATCACCACCGCTACCACCAATGACAACAATTATAAGAGAAAATAACAAGGGAAGAGAATACGAAACCACCCGCCAAAAATGAGTCTGACCCAGAAGACCCCGTGCCCTTCTGGGTAACTCCCAGTTACCCCCCTGGCCATGACATACTGTGGTATGGAATACCTCTTTGCTCAGTTTGGGTCAGGTGTCCTGTCTCTGCTTCATCCTGGCTTCCCCTCCTCCCGGGCAGAGCATGAGGCTCAAAAAGTCCTTGGTCAGAGTAAACATTACTGAGCAGCAACTAAAAACATCGGTGTTATCAGTGCTGTTCCCAGGCTGAAAGTCAAAACACAGCACTGCACCAGCTGCTAAGAAGGGGAAAAATGACTGCTACTGCTGAACCCAGGATAGACCTCCAGCCCTGCTTCCTGTGTGTAGGGAGATGCTGTGCAGGGCCCTCGCCTTCATTTCTTCCCTCCTTGTGTGACCAGCCCCCATGCTCCTGCCATCCCTTTCTGAAGGGTCCTGGCACCCTGTGCTTGCTGAGTGAGCATGTGCAGCTTGCAGCTGCTGTCAAGTCTTGTGCAGGCAGTCGTGCATTTCTTGTATGGCTCCCAGTTTACTTAAGTGTCAAACACAATATATGTGTGTCATGTAATTTATTTTAAGTGAGTTGAAAAATACAAAGATAACTTATCTTAAAATGAGTAAATTTTAACTCTTGATTTTTCTGACTTAGTAGATGAAGACTTTGGTATTCTCTCATATTTAGCTATGTCTGTTTTCATTATGAACTGAATTTGTGATAAAGCACAGGGTTTCATTTTAATATTAAAAGTATTCTTAGGTAACATGTATTGCTAACTTTCTCTATTTGCCCATAATAATCCAGTTTATCAAGACATTACAGGAAAGGTCATCTAAGAGTTACTGTACTGAAATATGGCATATTGGTGGTATGAAATGTCAATTTGCTATATAAAGACAGAAATAAATCAACTTTACTTCTACTTTTTCCTCTTTCCCAGTAACATAGCAATGTCCAATTAACTTGCAGTACAAATACTGAAATTCTGTGATTAATTCTACTTCATAATCGTGTACACTCCGATCCCATGAAGCCCTTGCATTTTTCACATAGAAACTTTGTTTTCTTTTGCGTTACTCACTTAAACAGGGAAGTAATGCTTTGCAGTCAGTTTATTTCGGTATTCTAAAAACAGTAAACAGTGTCCCTTGTTGGGGCTAAGGCACAAAGACTGGCTGCAGACTCTTGCTTCTGTTGCCATAGCTGTTTTGTGGCTAAGGTGTGTATTTTTGTTTTCTGGAACCCTGATGCTATTCATTATTCTGGAGCGAGAAAAAAGAAAAAAAAAAGTCAGTTAATTAAAAGCAAAGATTTTTGTTTATGTAATGAAGTAATGCAAAAGACTCACAGCGAGAAGGCAGGATTGCATTTCAGTGTTTTCCAACATCGACAATTTGGCAGAAACCTTGCTCCTCAAAAGTAAGATACTTTTCCCCCCCAAAAAAAAAATTTACCAGCAACATGGAAGGTGTGGGGATTTGTGTTGGTATGGCAGTGATTTTAAACCTCCATCTGCCTCCCCTAGACCCTGGTGGCCATTAACTTATTTCATGTTCAGCATGGCTTAGAAAAGGCAAGGTGATTTAAAGATAAGGTGGTTTAAAAAGAACCAAGTAGAAGGAAGGATAATTATTAGGTATAAATAGAATTACAGGAAAAAGTTTTGAGTGCTTTCCAGAAGGACACACAAGCTCAGACTTGCTTGATCTATTTCCACCTGTATCTCTTCATGGTCTTTTTTTCTGGTTCATTTGGGAAGCTTCCTTATCTGTGCATTGCTCAGTAAGGGGTATGCCATCTGCATATTATTGTAAATGAGAGGATTCATCCATCTACTATCTTAGAGCAGTATGGCTTTCCTGCAGGATTTTGTTAATTTATATAAATTTAATTCTCATATCCCTTCTGGAATATTGAACAAAACTCATTTCATGACTGCAGGGTTTGAAAGCAGAAGGGGCAGTAAGCTAATATAATTAATCATTGTGTCATTGCTACAGAATAATGGACTAATTCTCTTCCTAATTTCCAGTTACTTATCATTTTAAATCTCACAGGGAAAGCAGCACTGTATAGAGCGCAACAAGGAACAACCAATTAAAAAAAGTGGTTTGTTTCATCATCTTAAGCAAGTGTAACAAAACTGGGGAAGCTCTGGTTGTGATTTATTATCTATGCTTGTTCGTTGAGTTTTCACATAAAATAGGTATTGTAATAAACTCCTTCACAAGGAAGAAAGAACGAATTTCCCTGTATTGACATATTTTGTGCATCAAATTTACATTTTTAAAAAGCACCCAAGTACACAGAATAATTGGCATGAGTTAAAATGAACAAAACAAGCCATCTAACACTTAGTTTGCAATTATATTCTTACATCAACTATGGAAAAAAATGACAAATCCTCACAATTACAAAAGTTCAATTGTGGTCTGGCACTCTGCCCTAATTTGGGCCATTGAAGCTAGAAACTTCTGTTTTACTTACAAGACTCTTTCAAATATTTCACAGCTGAATTCAACTCTGCCATTGCATGGTGGTGAGTATATTCTTCACCAGCTGATCATTTAAAATACATCTACTATTCGCTAGGTTTGGTGTGAGACTGTGAGCTCTACTAAATCTCTGCAGGTTCAGGTTTAGACTAGCAGAATAAAGATGACCAATACCTCTGACATGTCCCACTGGGATTGAAACTTGGATGCTTTTAGAGAGATTCAGGCCTTTTCTGCTAGAGGCAAGAGAAGAATATCAAGAAAGGTGACAGGGAATAAATAGAAATGAAGAACTGGGAAAAACTGGCTTGGAGATAGCTAAGGAAGGAGCTTGGGGAAAAAACATCACTGGAAAGATTGTCTGGAGCCTGTGAAGAAGCAGCTGAGTACTAGATGAGATGAAGGAAAGGCAGAGTGAGAATGCAGGATGGAATAGGAAGTGCTTGAAGGGACTAGAGATTAAGTTTTGGCACAGGTAAGATAAGACCACATGGGATGTGTAGGACAGAAGGAGAGAAGGGCTAGTATCGTCTGTCAGGAATGACCAGAGGAGGTAGATAAATTGGTAGTTCCTGTTGCTGTACAGAGTTCAACATCATTTCTGGCAGCAAGCTGGAAAGTGTTTCAAGGCTGAGCTTTCATCTAAAAATTAAGTAGAGGCCCAGCAACCCTATCTGAAACGTTAGAGGAAAAACAGCAAACAAGACAGCATTTTTTCCACTGGTTTTCATATAAGTACAGCTAATTGAACTGAGCCTAAAGGTAGTACTGACTTGAATATTTTCTGTTTTGTTTTCTTGAACAGGAATTCAGCACAGCCTGTTTGTTACTTTGACTTTTTGTTAATCTGGAACAACTTTAGTCACTGCTGAATCCAAATTAGAATGTAACCAAATAACTGGCATGTTTGACCCTCCACTTAAAGGTAATAAATTCAGTATTGGTCTTGGGCAATACTGTTTTCTGCAGTTCCCAGGTCAATCCCATTTCTTTTATCCTGCCCAGATTCCTTCAAGCCTCCTGCTTTGAATGAGGTGGTGCAGAAGATTTACAATAGACTAAGACAACCTAAAAAGGACCTAAAAGACTATCCTGGTGGGATGAGATGGAGAAAATTGGTAGGGTTTGGAGTGTCTGAGTAGCATTGCTCAGAGTTGTCTTTTTGGTATTTCTCTGTTACTGCTCCCATTCTCATTAAAAACTTCATGAAAGGTGCAGAAGAATGACCAACGGGCCTATCGGACACTAAGGAGACTATTTGGCCAGTTCTGTTGTGCTGCCAAGCCAGCTGTCCTCTGTGCCTAATAGTCAGAGGAACACTGCTGTGACAAGCCAGTTGGAAACAAAGTCACAGGGATTGTATGGGTTTTCATCTAGAACTGACACCAGGTGTTTAAAACATTTTAAAGAAAATGCTGGGAAATTCATATAGAAATTGCCATGCAACAGCTTGTGATGTTTGTATTGTTAGCAAACTTAAATGCAGTACAAGCAAGCTTTTTGAGTTTGATTTTTAGTTCACTCTGTCTGGAGAACATGGTGTCAAATGCCCATTTTTTATTTTAAGAATAGTCTTAAAGACTTGATTGCTCCTTGATCCTAGTGTTGTGTTGAAGGTTGTTCAAAGTTATAGGGCGTTATGTATGCTGTATCTTAATGAAATGCTTGTCTGAAATTGTACTGATAGCCTGCTGTGAAAAAATCAATTTGCCATCAGCAAACTGAATGTACTTGATGCTCAATTTAGTTCACCCAACTATTTCACGTTCTTTCCCTATTGTAAAACAAAAGGGTCTTGAGAATTAATTACAGTGTTAGCATCTGCTCTTGGCAGCTTTGCTGATAGACTTAGTAGAATGAGATAGTTAAGGCAGGAGTGAGACGGAGTGTAAAGTTTTTCCCACTACCATTTCTTATGTGAATATCTTTTAAAGGACGGGCCTATGCTGATTCCTGTACATACTTGTTCTGTTTGCAGTAGAGTAACCAGTTGTGCATAAAATCAGCAAATACTGATCTCTTCCAAATAATGTGTGTTAGATTGTTTTTTCCTGGTTCATATTTCTATAAATATTGCTGGCAGCACGGTGGAGTATTGCTTATCTGAATACTGGTAGGAACTCTATTTCCTCTAAAGTAAATGCCAAACTTTTTTTTGATGAGTAGATGAATGAGAAGTTTGAGATTACAGGTCCCTGAGATTCCTGATGTCGAATCCCTTATTAGTGCAATTCCAACTTGCTGTGCCAGCTACGCTCTGGAGCAACCCTGGATGCTGGACAAGCATACTTTTGTGTTGTGCAAAATCTCCTTTGACAGTTTAGTCTTTATTAACATTAAAAAATGTTAGTGTAGAAATATGTCAGTCTAAACTGATGTTTTATTGTGCTAAATGTAGATTGAGCTGCTGCACAAGCCCACAAGATATTGCTAAAGTTAGGATTTTAGTATTCTATAGTTTTGTAATTTAATGCCTCTTCAGGTAAATAAATGTCATTCATCTCAGCTAAAAGAAAGATCAGGTCTTGCTCTTTTTCTCTAGGCTTTCTTTTTTTACTGACACATCAAAAGGCATAAATTACCTTTCTTGGAATGCCTGAGAAAACATGATCTCTCAAGCCCAAGAGATTTTCATTATTTGTAAGTTCTCCGTAAATTCTGTCACATGGGATTTGAAATCTGTTCATCCATACCACTGTATTTTGGAGAGGATCATCTTAGATTTCTGTGGGAGAGTGCCTGAAATCTGGTCTTATCATGAACGATTGTGATGCCAGTAATGGTCGTAAGGTTAGTCCTGTTTGCATTGGAGAACAATTCCAGGTCACGTAATTATAATAAAACCCCCTAAGTTTGGTTAATTAAGAACACGTTCATTGTCTTCAGTAATTTCAAACAGGAAAATTACGACCAGAACTAGTGGGAATCCTAAATTGGTTTTAATATTTATTGTTTCATATTTTCTGACAAGCTGCAAGCATAAATAGGAAAATTGTGTTTGCATGTCTGAAGTTGTAATCTATCCTCTAAGCAATATGGCCAGTTAGTTGCTTCTGGGGTTCGAATGATAAGTCATTATCTGAAGAGATACAACCCAAGCTTTCATTAGATTAAGCTTTTTCTTCTTGAAGACACTTGAATATTCTTTATGATATCATTTTTTAATTTTATTTTTTTCCATGTATACAATATTATTATTAATGCCTCAGCTTTTATGTTGGGTACAATTCTTAATTTTATGTCCATTAGACTGCCATGTACTAAATGCTTTTAACTTCTTACATCATAAAAAGCTGTTGAAGCAGTGCCTGGTACTGGTCAGGTGAAGGCATAATTAATACTAAAGTGAAAAGAAAAATATCTAAATGATATATTTCATATACTAATACTCTTATAAAACTGTACTAGCATAGTGTGACATTTAAAATGCACACCTGTATATCATGTTTCTTCTGTCAACTAAAATTTTAACCAAGGGTTCAAACAGTGGATCTTTGCTCCCAATTGGCTTAGCAATCGAAAAGCATTTCTGTATTTTGTAGATATGCTTTACTAGAACACCACGTGACATGAAATTTAAACTCTATGCATGTATAACAGCTTTTGAAAGAATGTGTGGTTTGCTACTCTTCCAGAGCAAGCACATCCTCTAAATCATAGAATAGTCAGGGTTGGAAAGGACCTTAAGATCATCAAGTTCCAATCCCCCTGCCATGGGCAGGGACACCTGACACTAACCCATGTCACCCAAGGCTCTGTCCAACCTGGCCTTGAACACTGCCAGGGATGGAACTTTCACAGCTCCCCTGATCAACTCATTCCAGTGCCTCACCACCCTAACAGTAAAGAACTTCTTCCTTATAGCCAATCTAAAGTTCCCCTGTTTAAGTTTTAACCCATTACCCCTTGTCCTACCACTGCAGTCCCTAATGAAGAGTCCCTCTCCAGCATCCTTATAGGCCCCCTTCAGATAAAAACCATATTGGCTAATAATTGGAATGATTCCTGAGTATGTCTAGAGAAAACCTTGAAAATAAAAGATAGTCTAAGTGAAGTTAAAGCACAACTAAACTATCAATAACCCTGGTAATAAAGAACTGCCTGTCTGGACCTCAGAACTGGGCTGTGCATCCCCATCCTTCTCTGTTTGTCAAAAAATGCACTGCAGTCATGCAACAGGGAAGTAAGCAATAACCTTAAAGCTAAGAAATCACTTTTTTTTTAAAAATGAATCAGTCATGTGCTTCATCCCCAAGTCTAAGAGAGTCTGCTGGTTCTGTAGGGAAGTATTGCTGAAATTAGCAGTTTACTGAAATCATTGTTGTTTTCTCCCCTCAGTTTGAGCATACTTAATTGGCAAATGTCATAAATACACAGTTTGTAATATTTAACATTTATTGGCTATTGCATGTTGTTAGCCAAAATAGTTGATCTGTTACATGTGGAAAATGTCACTCTTCTTCAGAAAGACTCTTTTTATAATGCTGTTTCATGAAAATGGCTTAATATCAAGAAATATTTTAGTTATCTTTTCATCACATCAGTGATTCCCATTGTTTACATATAGCAAGAGTATGCTGAACTTGAAAAAAATCTTCATACCTTGTTATTAGCTTTTAAAAAATACTTATAATTTTGTATCTACTTAGGCCATTGTCATTAAGAAAATTCTTGTATTTATTTATAAAAATAAGATGGTTATTTATTAAAATTGCTGGTGAGGATGTCTGTGACCCTTTTAGTTATGATTAGATACTCAAGTGAATTGCACATTAGAGTTTTTATAATTCTTTAATATAGTTCCAAGCAAGGTGTATGTTTTATATGTTGTTTAGCAGTATTGAGGGGAGGGGAAAATAGAAACATGTTGTACCATTCTATAATTTTTATGGCACACGAAAATTGTTACCCTTAATATGGTCAGGATACATTTTCATATAAGCTTCACATCTTCCAAACCTATTTTTGCCATGTTAGGTTTGGTCCAGGAAGTGTGTGAAATCTTGTGCTTTTCATTCCTTTCACTTATGTGAGAAATAATTGTCAAAAAAAAAACCAACTTTTTTTTGCGTACTTCAACAAAAAAGACCTGGAAACTTCTATGTGAAGTCTTCTGTGCTTTTGTTTTCATAAGAAGAGGGTGAATTTAGTCATTTTTTCTTTAGTGTGGGAAAAGCATTCCTGTAGCCTAATATTTCACACATTTTGGAGGAAAAAACTGTAAGTTTTTTTGTACACCTCTTATTTTCCCTAGATGTTGAAACACTTTCATCTGAAGAAGCAACATATTTTGTATCTAGTATTTTTCATTACATGTGCTAATTAGCAATTGCTAACAGATGATGATGTTATGCATTAGTACTCAGAAGAGCATCCTGGAGCTCCAAAAGCAATTGTATCCATTGCTGAGATTGGGAATGTCTGTCCCCAAAAGCTCTCAGCAAAATACCAAATGCATAAATGGCATTGAAATAGCATATAGCTTTGATTAGAGTAATTTATTTATGCATAGATTTAAATATGTGTTGTGGTTTAACCCCAGCCAGCAACTAAGCCCCACACAGCTGCTTGCTCACTCCCCTCTGTGTGGGATGGGGGAGAGAATCAGAAGGGTAAAAGTGAGAAATCTTGTGGGTAGAGATACAGAGAGTTCAATAGGTAAAGCAAAAACAGCACACACAAGCAAAGCAAAACAAATAATTCCTTCACCACTTCCCATGGTCAGGCAGGTGTTCAACAGGGCTCCATCACACATAACAGTTACTTGGGAAGACAAACACTGTCACTCACAACATCCCTTCCTTCCTTCCTTCCTCTCCCCCCATGGAGCAAGAGGAAGGAAGAGCATGGCATCCTGTGCTATGGAGCATCCCTTTGGTCAGTTGGGCCTGTCCTGGCTGTGTTCCCTCCCAGCTCCTTGTACACCCTCAGCCTGCTCGCTGGTGGGGTGGGGTGAGAGGCAGAAAATGCCTTGACTTCATGTGATCACTGCTCAGCAGTAACAAAAACTGTGGTACCAACACTGTCTCCAGCACAAATCCAAAACATAGTCCATACTAGCTACTGTGAAGGAAATGAACTACCCCAACCAAAACCAGCACAATATGAAAAGTGAAAGGTGTAGAAGTCATAATGGAGAATGGTAGGAAGGCGCATTTTATTTAATAAATAGTTTGTTGTTGCAGTAACACAGTGTCGTGGTTTAAACCCAGACAGACAGCTTGTTAACCACTGCCCCCCCTTTCTTGCCCTCCCCCTACTCCTGGAGGGTCGGAGAGGAGAATCAGAAAGAATGCAACTCCCACGGGTTGAGATAAGAACAGTTTAGTAATTAAGGTATAACACAAATCACTACTGCCACCACCAATAATAGTAATGATAAAGGAAATAACAAGGGAAAAGAATACAACACCTCATCACCAGGTGACTGATAACTTGGTCCCCCCAGCCCGACCAAGCACTGACCGATACCTCCTCCAACCCTGCAGTCCCCCTCGACCTTCCAGCTCACTCCCAGTTACCTCCTGGGCATGACCTCTTTGGTCAGTTTGAGTCAGGTGTCCTATCTCTGCTTCCTCCCAGCTTCCCTCCTCCCTGGCAGAGCATGAGGCCCACAAAGTCCTTGGCCAAACCAAAACATCATTTTTATCAGCTCTGTTCCCAGCTGAAAGTCAAAACACAGCACTGCACCAGCTACCAAGAAAGAGAAAAATGACTGCTACTGCTGAACCCAGGACACACAGGATATTGATTGCCTCCTGTGGCCCATTGCAATTGATAGTTTTGGTTAATGTAGTTAATTTCTACAACAGATGCTCCATTTATCATGGGATCTGAAAAATGTTGGCTGACCTATGAGGTATTTTTTAACGTGTGGATTAGATTGTTTTGAGTATTTTTCCAAAGTAAGAAATGTTTGTATGATTGCCTGCAAATGCATGGAATTGATTCAGTCCCACGTATAAGCTCCAATGAAGGGGTGAGGGGACTATTACCTTTAACCATGTTTGATGTCAGTAAAATATGGAATATTTTCTTATAATTTTTTCCAATGAAACTACAGAAACATGACATAGATTAATTTTTCAAACCATACTATCCTGATTGTGTCCTTACTGTAATTCTTTATTTATCTCTATGGCAAAAAGATTGTTTTCAGCTTCAAAGGGCCTTCATTCCTTATCTTTCCTTAACCCATGCCATCTAAATGCATCACGTTGTAAGCCTCACCTTCTTTTACAGTAGTAGAAGGTTTTCAAGTCCACCTTAAAATAGTTGGGGAATTTAACTTGTGTGTAGTAACAAGAAAAAATCAGGAGGGTTCCTTCTTTCAGATACCACAATCTGTTGACCAGAGTTGGACACACAGGACAATTGCACAAAA